TTCCTCATCCCCAGAGCAGGTGGTGGAAGGGGTGGGCACAGCTGGAGAGTCTCCTCGGCAGGTGCCGGCCCCCACCTCACACCCGTCAGGGGCACCAGGAAGACAAGGGCTGGGCTCTCTGGGGGACGTCAGAGAGGACTCGGCTCAGACTTGGCCGGGTGGGGACAAGTTACCCACAGTTACACGAGAGCAGCCTGGTCTGAACTGTTTTGTCCCAGACCCCAGGACCCCTTTGTAGCTGAAAGCAGGCACCAATACTGTCCCCATTTTATAGATGAGCCCACTGAGGCCTAGAGGCATCAAGTAGCTGGCCTAGAGGAGGGCTGGGACATAGGCCACCTGTCCCCAGAGACTCCCCAAGGACAACAAGCTGTCCCCCCGAGAGGCTGGACTGTGGGAGCCCTCTACTCGACCTCCATGGCCAAATGGGCTTTGCCTGGCCCCGCAGTTCCCACTAGGAAAACCACCTGACCCGGCACCATACTGAGCTGCAAATCCTTTATCAAACCCACGTGGCCCCACATGCTGGGGTGTGTGAGCAGAGCAGGGGTGTCGCCCTCACTGACTGCCTGAGGTCACACCACCAAGCTGCAAGGCCGGGGAGGACGCAGGCCTGGTGGCTGCCCCAGCCTGTCCGCGGTGCGCTAACCTGGGCTGAGCGGGTAGAGCTCGTGCTCCCCACCGAAGAGCAGGTTCCGGGCGAGCTTCTGCGGGTCGGTTTTCTGCGGGGCGGAGGACGGTGGGCACAGTGAGAATCGGCGCCGGAGAAACGCCTCCTCCTTCATGGCGTGGGTGCCGGGGGGCTTCTGGAAGGAAGGGAGGAAGGGAGAGCAGGAGGTCACACCTCATGCTGGGACCAGGCGGGCCGGCGCTGGAGAGCCTGATGCCAGGGGCGTCCTCCCACCTGCCCGGCAAGGAACCAAAGACAACTCAGGAACAAGTGGCGGGTGACCCCATCTTATATTCAGGTCCCCTTGCAGGGGACTTCTCAGACACAGGACGAGAAGGGCTGGAGGGGCCTGGGGTCAGCAGGGACGATCAGCCTGGGAAGGCCGCACAGCCAGGCTCAGGCAAATGGCTTTGCCCCATGCTGGGCTTTTCCAGGGCTGGCAAGGCAGAGCTGGGACTAGCCCTACCAGAACTGTGGCTCATCACAGGACATGGCAGACATCTTTCTCTGAGAGCCTCCCACCCCCAGGTTCTGTAAGACCCTGGCCACAGCTGAGTGGATGGGAGGTGGGCCATTGACCCACGCCGGGCCCCCGGGTGTTCCCTCCCAGGTGATGGTGCTCCACAGTGGGAAGACAGACCCTGATAATGCAGGGGGCGCTAGCTGAGAGCCGGTCTGCCCAGGGAGGGGACACAAGGGGGTGAGGCCAGGGGGCCCCAGGGCGCCGGGGAGCAGCTGGCTCTGGCCTGGCGCTGTCCCTGAGCCTGGCCTGCTCCTCCCACCTCAGGATCCCGAGAGCCTCCCGCCTGGCTCCTCTGGTCAAGCCCCTCCTGCTTTGGCTCCTCGAGGGGTTTCTGTTGCTTGCACCCCAAAGTGCCTTAACAAGGAGAGAAAGCTCAGGTGTGCTCAAAGCAAGGCGCACCCTAATTCACACCAGCCCGAGACATCACATTCCTGGTGGGAGGCTCCTTCCTGCCGCACAGCACGGCCCCTGGAACGGCCCCTGGGACCCACCCACCAGTCCCCCTTCCCGTTGCCACGCGCTCCCCGCCTGCCACTGCTGGCCTCGCTCACGGGCACGTCTGTATTTCTCCAGACCGTTCAGGAGCTCTGTCTGTCTCCTCCTGGACCGAGGCCGGCCATGAGCAAGAGGCAGGTGCCTCTCTCTCCTGCCCCCTCACAGCCCTACCCCAAATAGGGCTGTGCCAAGCAGAGAGAACAACTCTGGAAGCCACCACGCCGTCCCAGGCACTGAGAGGTTGGCCTCAGCCCATTTCACAGAAGAGAAAACCGCGGCTCCAAAAGGGGAAGGCACCACCCTGCAGCAGTGGCCTGGTAGGTGTCGGCAGACCTGGGGTTCCCACTGTAATCCTCTGCCCTGCACTCCCCAGGGGCGAATTCCATAAGACCTGCTGGCCAGTTTTCCTCCCTTCCCCGTTTTCTGGGGCTGCAGTCTGCTGCCTCTCTGGGCGGGCCAATGGCTTCCTGCCAATCCCAGGACAAAGGTGTCACTTTCTCACATGGCCCTAGGCCTTCTTGGGTGGGGACCTTAGACACACAGAGCCTTTCCTTCTGCGACTTAAGGGCTGGGTGGGGCTTCGGGAGTGGGCTGGGTGGCCCAGGGTGTCAGTGGTCCTGGGGGCTTCTGTCTACAGCTCCAGAGCTTCCTCTGTGCCCCTGCCCAAGGTTCTACTCCGTGGGCTGGCCCCTTCTTCCTGATCTTTGTCACCCCACCTGGTGGCAGCTGGCTCACCTGGTTACCTTTGCGGCTTTTCAGACAGGGAAACTGGTTTCGGAGAGGTTGGGGTTGCTGGGCCAGGCTCACGCAGCGAAGCACTGGCAATGCCTCTACAAGAGCCAACCCGCATCAGTTCTAAAACCTGCTCCTGAGCTTCTCCGTAGCTCGGCTCAGCTTGCCCCAAGCCTGCTCCTGGGAAACAGGGCCGGGGGTGGGGTGGGTCCTAGGTAGCCGTCCTGCTTATCAGAGTCACAGCAGGCACCTCCTACCTGCTGGGTGTGCCTCTGCCAGGGAGCCCACACCTGAGAGGAGGCGGGGCTAAGAGTTTCCAAGCACCCAGGCTGCACTGGGCAGCACAGGTGAGTCACATGTGATCCTGCCCTCAGGGACCCATAGGCTAAAGGGAGGGGCCTTCCCAGGCAGTGTGATGGGGATGATAACACAGGCAGGTCTCCCTCATCTGGAGCCTCATTTCTCATAGGGGCTGAGTCCTGCAGACATGGGGCAGGTAGAGGGGCTCTTGTCCCACAGCCTGAGACTGGCTCATAGCTCAGCTTCAGTGTCCTATCTGGCCACCTGCCCGGGCTCCACCTGGGGCAGGGTGGAGAGGGCCTGGAGATCACTGGCTGCCTTTCGTCCCAGACCCCACTGCAGGCCGTCTCCCAGCACTGCTGACGACCAGAGGGAGTCCTCCATCAGCCACTCATCTGTACACCACAATTCCTCCTTCCTTCCTCCTGGCATCCATCCATCTGTTCACTTGTGCATCTACCCACTTACCCAGCCATCCCTCCACCCATCCCCTCATCTATCCATCCATCCACCATCCACACATCCATCCATCCATCCACCATCCATCCGCCATCCACACATCCATCCATCCATCCATCCATCCATCCATCCACCATCCACACATCCACCCATCCATTCATCCATCCATCCACCATCCACACATCCACCCATCCATTCATCCATCCATCCACCATCCACACATCCACCCATCCATTCATCCATCCATCCACCATCCACACATCCACCCATCCATTCATCCATCCATCCACCATCCACACATCCATCCATCCATCCACCATCCACACATCCATCCATCCATACACCATCCACACATCCATCCACCATCCATCCACCATCCACACATCCACCCATCCATTCATCCATCCATCCACCATCCACACATCCATCCACCATCCATCCACACATCCATCCATCCATCCACCATCCACACATCCATCCATCCATCCATCCATCCACACATCCATCCATCCATCCATCCATCCACACATCCATCCACCATCCATCCACACATCCATCCATCCATCCATCCACCATCCATCCGCCATCCACACATCCATCATCCACACATACATCCATCTGCCATCCATCCACCCATCTATCCATCCATCCATCCACCATCCACACATCCATCCATCCATCCATCCACCATCCATCCACCATCCACACATCCATCCATCCATCCACCATCCACACATCCATCCATCCATCCACCATCCATCCGCCATCCACACATCCATCATCCACACATACATCCATCTGCCATCCATCCACCCATCTATCCATCCATCCATCCACCATCCACACATCCATCCATCCACCATCCCCCCATCCATCGTCCACCCATCTATCCATCCACCATCCATCCACACATCCATCCATCCATCCACCATCCACACATCTATCCATCCATCCACACATCCATCCATCCATCTACCATCCACCCATCCATCCGCCATCCACCCACCTGTCCATCCACCCACCCGTCCACCCATCCATCCATCCATCCATCCATCCACCCGTCCACCCATCCATCCATCCATCCATCCATCCTCTCAGCCCTTCCTCCTTCCTCCCACGAATCTTTCTACACAGTCAGCTGAACAGCCTGACTCCCCCCTTCCCATTCACCCCACAACCAGCCATCAGAGGCGGTATTCAAATGACTGAGCTGCTGGTATGGAACAGACACCCACCAATCCAAATGCAATACAGGTGGGTACCAGTGACTACCTGCTCTGTGTGACAACACCCCCAGGCCAGTGCCCAGGCCCTGCAGGCCACCTCTGACCTGCTCAGACAGGGAGGGCAGCCACTGTTACCTGGTCTACGAAGCTCTTCTGAAGACCACCTCCCTGGTCTTCCCAACACCCTGTGGCTTACAAGAGCCTGCTGCATATCTGGCAGGGTCATACGTTACCTTGGTGTGTGGGGGGTGTTTGTTCATTTCAAAAGTAAATCCAGGTCACATCTCCCCAATGGCTCCTCACAGAGTTTAGAACACAATCCAGTCTCCATCTCCTGTCCCTGTTTCCCGAGCCCTCCGTGACCCCCGCCCCGCTGCTCCTCCCACCTCCCTCCCCACTCCTGTCACCCGCTCTGCTCCCGCCACACTGACCCTCTTTATGTTCCTCGAAAATGCCCTCCCAGAGGGCTTTGCACCAGCCCTTCTCCCTGCTGGAATGCCCCTCGCCCACAGCTCCTGTGGCTGCGTCCTTCTCGAATTCCACATTCAGCTCAAATGTCACTGCCCCGGGGGGCTTGGCCACTCCTTGTCTGTGGGCACAATGGAAAGTCTCCACCTCGCAGCACTCCGAGTTCTTGGAGAGCTCTCTTCTGTATTTCTTGCTTCTTTGTGAGCTCTCTTCCCTCCACCAGATGCAAGGCGCAGGTGAGGGATGGTGGGTGTTTATCTTGCGTTGTTTATCTCCACCACCTCATCCCACCACCCAGAGCAGCAACACGCAGCAAATGGCCCCTGGGGAAGGTGCTCAGAGCATGCCTTGTCCAGGGTTGGTTTGGAGCTGACTTCCACTGTAACCCTGATGAGGTTCCCCTTCCCCCACTGTCTGCCACATAAAGCAGGGTTCTGGAAGGAAGGAGCCCCGAGCACCCCGCACTCGGCGAGACCGTTCAGGGCCCAGCACTGGTGTGGACATGCCTGCATGTTCACAGGGGGTGGGCCGCAGGTTGTGTTGGTCTGAAAGTTATGTTTCTGCCCAGGGGTGCCCTAGCCCAGAGTCCCCAGGTCCCCTGAGGAGGGCTCACCCTGGAGGCCAGGCCAGGAGGCAGGAGGATGGGGCAGTGGCTGAGGAAGGGGCAGAGCAGGGGTCACGTGGCCTTCACTGCCCAGTGCGGGCCCAAGTCTGGGAGGAGGGAGGGTACGAAGTTCTGGAGCTCAGCAGGGGACAATGCAAGCCACAGGCTGGAGTGTATGCTGGGGGGCCCGGGCAGGCCTGTGGGAAGTGGGAAAGTGTGGGAGAACAAGGT